ATCAAACGTTCCCAATATGACACATCGCTGATTATATTAATTTGATATTGTAACTAACACTTTTAAAATTCTTTATGGATTGATAAATCACCTAAAGTGAACAATTTCACTTCTGAGAAACTATATTGTGAATTACAAAATAAATTAAAGTAGAAATATGAAAGAGCGATGTTCATCGCAGTGTCCATACTTTCTTGTGAATCTGATCAACAAATGTATCCCTTTTACTTTTTTTTGGATCCAAACTTTACATCAAAAATATATTCTGTAATGTAATACCAACTATTCATAAATTTAGATTTTTCTGATGCTTGTTCTCTGTAATATGTAGAAACAGCTTTTTTACCTAAATATTTGATTTAATAAAGTTAGCAAATTTCTTATTTGAAGATTATACCTGGAAGTTATTCAAAAATTTTGTCTATTTTTGCTACATCAGGTTTTAAAACTATATAAATATATATATATATATATATATATATATATATATATATATATATATATATATATATATATATATATATATATATATATATATATATTAATATATATATATATATATATATATATATATATATATATATATATTTATATATATATACATGTTTATATATATATATATATATATATATATATATATATATATATATATATATATATATATATATATATATATATACATAAAAGTGATAAAGATTACCCAATGCGAATCGTAGTCTCAACTGTCGGTAGACCCCCACATAATTTATCACAGTATCTTGTTAAGCCTATAAACATACGCTTAACAAAAACCAGTGCAGTGTAAAAAAATCATCATCTTTTGTATTGGAAGCAAAAGAATGGACAGTTGAAGAAAATAAGGTTCAGGTATCATTTGACGTAATAAATTTGTATCCGTCAGTACCACTCAATAAAGTAATTTTAGATATTACTTATATTTTAGATAATGATAAAAATAATCTTAACCTGCGTACTAAATTATCTTTTTACTGACATTCATAAAATAATTGAACTTTGTCTAAGTAAATACTATTTTCTGTGGGATAACAAAATATATATATCTTAAAAATCTCTGTTCTGATTAGATTATTATAGATATTCTCGACAAAAACCTCATTATATAATAAAACGAAACAACCCAACCCAAAAACTGTCAACAAATTAACAAATAATACCATAATATTTCTATGAGTTCCTGAATTAAGTCTTATTCTTAGACGTGAGTTTCGCAAAGTTGGCATTAAAACAGTTTTTCGTTTAGAAGATCTTTACTGAACATAATATGCTAAAACAAATCAAAGCCACCACCAAACAGTTACCCGGGTGTTTACCAACTTGAATGTACATGTGGCGCTTTTTATGTGGGTGAAACTACAAAAATAGACAAAACCAGGAAAAAGATTTCAATACGAATAGCTGAACATCAAAAAAACGTGACTTAAAGCGAACTGGAAAGTTTGCATTTAGTCACGTATTTTTGAATCAACTGGAAAGTTTATATAGCTCATCTCTAAGTTCTGGCAGATTTTATTTTTAGTCTGAATTATTTATATAACGCAAAAAATGCAAAACCTAGCAATCACTCTAAAGCAGAATTTCAGAAGACTTATGTTGGCATTTTGAGCGGACTATTATATTTTTGCTCATCGGTTACTTAGTGGACCTTTTGTAGAAACCGCCAAAAGTGACTCGCTGATGGCTAGCTACTATTAAAGTTATCAACTTCTCATTTATAGCGGCTGCCACTAATGGTCCAATAAATAACCTATCAGTAAAACTGCAATAAACCGCTAAAAAAATGCCTAAATGGTTTTGCTGCAAATCCACTCAGTCAATGTTCACATCGCATATGCATCGTTTTTTATTTTGTTTGGTTGTATACTTATTAACAATTCCATATTTCAATTGTAAAACATGCGTTTTTCTATACATGATTATTATTATTTTTTTTTTGTCTCTATTTAGGTGCTCCCAGAAGTCCTTACGGTCTTATCGCAGAGCGCCGCGGGAGAGCATTTAACAGGAAGTTCACGCCTCCTTCCGTACCAATGTCGCTTGCTGGGCTGGAGTTGGCGTCGAACCTCGGACCTCTGGGTTCTGAGCCAGAACTCTAACCGCTGCGCCACGGCTGCTCTCATTTATCTATAAGCGTAATCTATTATCTATAAGCGTTTTTAATACTATATATTATTTTTATATTATTTGCTTAATAACTTAATAGCTTTAATTCAAAATAATATTTTAAAACCAGAAATCTAGTTAAAAGAAATTTTTAGGATAATAATAATGCATACGTAACGTTACCATAAACAAAGAAATTTGTTTTTGATTACTTAAAATGCAATTAATTTTTTCAAAATACATACTTGAAATACTGAGAAAAACTAAATATTACGCTCATATGAGAAATTCTGAGAAAAACTAAATATTATTCTCATATTATATGCTATTATCATATGATTATTTTTAACAACTTGTAAATCTACTCTTTATTGCAGGAGCGGTTGAATACTTACTGGGCGTAGATATCTTGATAAAATTTCATAGACTGGATTGATAAAGATAAGTTATAGTTTATTAGAGGGTGGGGTGAAGATAGTAATTTTTTTTTAATGTTCTTTAAAATTCAATTCTTACGTATTCATTATCTAAAAACAATCTTTTATATCATGTTTTTACTGTGTTTACTTTTGTTTTTTACTGTACTGCATTTTATCAATTTTTTCAAGCGGTTTTTTCTTAAAATAATAGTCGTTATTAAATACTTACTGGCAGTACCTGAAGTGAGGCAGGATTGGGTGATATGTCAGCCCACTCCCTAAACCATATAGCGATGGTTAGACTGGATGGTATTTTAAAAATACTGAAAACCATATCGTTACGTTTTTTGCCTTTTTCAAGCGCTACTTAAAAGGTACCTAAAACACAAAATCTATGCATTTTTGTAACTAAAAATTGTTATTAAAAACTAATAATTATTTTATGTTTGCATTGGTTTTAAAAGACATGTTTTTTAAAAATTAACTGTGATTACAACCCTTATTGATTCTCAAACTTAGCTTATGAAGATTAAGATATTGCCTATTTTGCAAATGTCAAAAGTGGAGTCGAACTAAAAGATTAGGCTGGGAAAATGCTTTGTTCAAATTCAATATCAATTAAGAATCTGAGTTATGAGAATAAAAATCTATGAGAACGATAATTACGGTAAACGATAAAAACGATAAATATAATATTTTTTATAAATTTATAAAAAACCTTCCTCTGGTTTGTATTCCGTAATCATATTTTAAAATTCTTCCTTTATTCATTTTGGAAAACCTTTTTCAAAAACAGAAAATAGCCTATGTTACTATACATTTTAAAATATTAAAACCAATTTGCCTTCTATGGAAACTTTTCTCATGCAATTTCATGAGAAACTTTTCTCATGCAAGTCATTTTTAAGAAAGATTTTTCCATATCAAGGGACTTGATATGGAAAAATCTTTATTAAAAAAACGCAAATGAAAATTGCATTTACTTTAAAAAAATAATATCTAAGGGTAGCATAGGATTTTTTCTACAGGTAGAAATTGTATATATTATTGATAAAACGACGGATAATATTTTAAAATTCCGTCGTCGGAATGACACGCAAATGTAAGTTATTTAAAATGAACTTGTTTCAAACCTTTAAAGTAACTATCAATATCAATTTTTACATATTTTAGCCGAAAAATGAAAGTAATCAAATCATATTTGGCACCACTCAATAATTTTTTATTTGTTTTTTTAAATAGTTTATATTCTTATATGTGAAGGATCATGTTTCTTTGCAGACATGTTCAATTTTTACAAAATTTTGTTTTTGGGCTCCTCTATATGTATATATGTAAGGAAGGTGTTGTATCTTGGGACAGTTCTATCTTAACAAGTATATCTTACCTTACCTTAAAAAAATTTCTAACTGTTTCTTTATATATGTATATATATATATATATATATATATATATATATATATATATATATATATATATATATATATATATATATATATATATATATATATATATATATATATATATATATATATATATATATATATATATATATATATATATATATATATATATATATATATATATGTATATATATATATATATATATATATATATATATATATATATATATATATATATATATATATATATATATATATATATATATATATATATATATATATTCATATATATATTTCACTAAGTTTTGCAATAGAAAATAAAGTTCATATATTGTTAAATGTTCTTACACGACAAAAAAGTATACTAAGCAAAGGTTTTTGCTTATACTTTAAATTTAAAAACTTTAACCACTGCAGCCTTAGCGTAGTGGTTAATGTTCAGAACAAAATTTAAAGTTTTGGTACAAAAAAGCCTTTGAGTTTTTGCCCTTCCCCCACCCTGCTCTAAAGGTGAGAGCAACAAGTTGATAAAATATTTTTTGTACTATTCTTAATTAGACTTATATTCATTAATAAATTTTAAGTTTCATAGTAAAATTTCTAAGCGTTTAATAATTATGAACTTACTTAGTTTAAACCCCTCTCAATTTGAGGGGGTTACAAAATTTAAACGGCCATAATTTATGAACGCTGAAAGATTATACTATGAAACTTAAAATATATCGATGAATATAAGTCTAGTTAAAAATAGTACAAAAAATATTTTATCAACTTGTTGCTATCACGTTAGCGGCAGGAGGAGGAAGAGGGGTAAAAATTTTAAGATTTTTTTGTTCCCAGCTTCCAATCATTGCATTTTTTGCAAAGCCTCATTATTTGACGTAAGTATAAAAATAAAAATGTTTGAAGTTTGCTCCATGTCTGGAAGTTACATCTCGAACAATAAAAAGTTCTGTCTACGCCTCTGTATGCATGTAGTAACAATTTTTATTTATCTCAAATTTTAGACTTACTAAAAAGTTAATTATTATGTATTCAATATCTTTTGATTTTATAGGACTGGAGTATAACAGAACATATTCATCTCGTTGCAACAAGATCATTCTGTTTTTTAGCGATGGTATTGAAGGAGATTACTCTAACACAGCTAAAAGTTTCTTTGATAAATGGAACAACGATAAGAGTGTCAGAGTTTTTACTTATCTTGTTGGAAGAACAAAAAATCCAAATGATAGAGTTCTTAAAGAAATGGCTTGTAATAATCGAGGTCACTTCTATCAAATTCAAACACTTGGAAATGTTTGGGATACTGTGATACAGTATTTAGAAGTACTAAGTCGACCAATTGTTCAACACAAAGGAGATGTTCAACCAAAAATATCTCCAGTATACTTGGACAGTAGTGGGGCTGGTATGATTTTAACAATGTCTCTTGGAGTTTTTAACTCGACTAATCTTGTAGGCGTTGTTGGATTGGATATGTTAATACGTGCCTTAACGCAGTTGGCTCCAATAAGTGAACTAGGGTATTTTAGTCACACAGTTATCATCAACAGCAACGGATTTATAGTACAACATCCCAAATACTTAGATCAAACTGGTTACTTACCTTTGCCGACCAATGTGTATTTTGAAGATTTGGAATACAGCGTAAATAAGCCTGATTCAAAGAATTTAAAAAATAGTATATTAAAAGGAGAGAGCAGTAGCATTCGATTTTTAACATATTGGTTGTATGATAACAATACCAAGATTGCTGAAAATAATGTTACCTATTACTATAAACCTGTTCTTAACTCCACACTCTTTGTATCTCTTGCAATTAGTGATGTCGACATTAACAATGTTACATTGAAAAATTTGGACAAGACTAATACAGCCTTATATTATATGGGGATTGAAGCTCTAAAGGTCTTTGACGATTTAAATTATTACACTTATGTGGATATACCAAATTGGAGATTTTGCAATAATTCAGCGAACCGGGGAGATGCTACTTTAGACCTTAAGGTATATCCAAATGCCAGTGAACTTCAAGATTATTTAAAAAATGTTGATAAAAATGAAGTTTTAAATATAGATAGTCCATTATGCAATACTGAGTTAACGCTCGATTTACTTATAAATGCTGCATTAGTTATTGGACCTGTTACTGATAGCTGGCAGGCGTATGTTAATAACCAAAACTCAAAAGACCCAAACTTTAAGTCAGTATTTGTTTGTACAGGAGCAGGATATACAAGGTACAAAATCATTATGATATTTTTTAAAATAAAAAACAATAAACTTTTATAAAATAAAATTAGTAAGCGGGTTTCTATAAACCACATAAACATTGAAGTATTTAAAGCTCTGTACGGTTACCCTTAATTAAAATTTGGTTTTTGAATTGTGTCCAAATTAATTTTCAATCTTTTTAAAGAGTATAATTTAATTATCACTATGTATATAGTCCATCTAATCAAAAAAATTCCTAGTAAAGATTTATGACATTTTTTCACGTCTTTTTTTTGAGTGCTGTGTTTTTATATGAAAATTTTCATTCAATTTCAATTAAAAGTTACAAAAATATTTAAAAAAGGTTTGGTAAAATATTTTTATCAAAATTTCCCAATTTTGACAAACCGTAAAAATATGAAATATTTGGTAAGTATCCTTCATGTTCTTTTCCGACCAAAGTTGTTCCATTTTATTAATTGTACGGTTAACTTTTAACTTCTTCTTATTTAAGCTACAATAAAACGTTTTAACGGAGGTTTTAGTGGAGTAAAATCTTTTACTGGAGACAGACTCGTACACAGAGCCGCCGAGAGGAGGGGCCACCAGGACAGTTTGTCCCGGGCGAAGATGCCGAAGTAAAATAAAATAGTTTTTTTATTCTTAAATATCTATAATTAAAATGTACATATTACTCGCGTTATATCATTGTTTTTTAATCCTCAAAAAGTTTTAAAAAATACGAACTCATCATTGATTTCGTATTCTACACGCTATTAAATTAAAAATGTCCCTTAAGATTTTTGCATTCATCAGACTAAAGTAGAAAAAATACAAACCTTGATAATTAGCAATAGCAAACTGTGAATACAATTTAGAAATAATTTTATTCAGATTTTAGAAAGTAGTAGTAATTATTTTTCAACTATTCGTTATGATCGACTTATTTATGGTATTTCATGTTTACGATTTATTTATATTTAACTATTGAAATATTGATTTATGACATTAGCTTTTTCAGTTTATTATTTTTTGATGAGTTTGCGTTTTTGACTTGGCTATTATTTTATTGATGCGTACTGTTATTTACAGTAACTGTTGATAAGGAATCGTAAAAAACTTTCTGGTGCCCAAAATCGGGCATTGGCTTCCAAAAGGGCAAAAGACTGTGAAAAAAATAAACAAACGCTCCAAGAATTAGGTTGGTTTTACAAAGCTACTAATCAAAATACTGATTTGAAGGTGAGTTAGTAGAAATATATAGGTCAATAAATATATTTCTTTTATTTCCGAAGCAATTCAAGAAAAATAATTAAACATTTTTTAAGTCGGCGGAATTAAATAAATCAGAACAAACAATGGAATCATCGTATTATGATGATGTTGATCTACATTCTCTTGGTTCAGTGGAAAATGAAACAGACGATAGTTTTAACGATGAATTAAAACCCGAAGAAAATAAAGGTTTTTATACAAATAATAATTCAAAATAGTTAAATAATTAATCAAGTATTAGGTTTTAATTAATTTTTTTTAATTCAGGCGTTGAAAATGACCCAGCACTCTGGCCATCGATTCTTAAGCAAAGAGAAAAAGAAGAGTTAATCAAAAAAGGTCCGTCAACTTTATCTGATGATTTCCCACGAGATGCTTCTAATAACAGGGCCTTTCCAAAAAAAGTTCTTTTCATTGCATTGCCTAATGGAGAAAAAGTTCAACGAGATTATCTGATATGGAGCCCATCGTCTAACTCTCTACTTTGTTTCCCGTGTTCTTTATTTGGGTGTGAAAATTCCGGATCCTATGGGGATCGATCTCTTCTTCTTCGCTGAAATGAAGGAATAAAAAATGACTGAAGAAAATTGAGTGATCGTATTAAAAGTCATCATAGCAACCCAGTTCATCAAAGTCATTATCTCAATTGGAAGACTTTGCACTCAGCTCTTGTCGATCAGCGTGGGATCAACTCAGAGTTCCAAAAGGCACTAGAAAAGGAAGTAGCCAGATGGCGTGAAATACTTCGTAGTATTTTAGATGCAATTTTATTTTTAACATCTCAAAACTTATCCTTTAGAGGTAAATATTCTAGGCCAGAACTCTAAATACTTAAGAATGAGTTCTTATTTTTAGTATTACAGAATTTCTTTTATCTACATTTAACTAACTTAGAAAACATTATTTTAAGGCAATATTCGTCGATGGAGAAGAACGAGAAAGGGAACTTTTTAAGTTGCCTTGAACTTATTTCTTGTCACAACAAAACATTAAAGAATTATCTTGAAACAGTTGCTTGTCATCAAAATAAAGGAACCTGAATACAAGCTCACTATCTCTCCTGGCAATCACAAAACGAATTCATCAGTGAATGCGCTACATTAGTTCAAGCAGCAGTTGTGAAAGAAGTAAAAGATGCCGTATATTTTACGATAATTACCGATGGGACCCCAGATGTACCTCACACCGAATAAATCACGTTTATTCTTCGATTTGTGCGATTCAACTCGGGTAAGATGATTTGGGAAGTTAAAGAACGATTTCTCTGCGTTGAAGATATGGAGAAAAAAAAAAGGTGCAGATATTGCTTATTTAATTTGCAACGTTTTAGCGAAAGTGAATCTCGATTTACAAAAATTGAGAGGCCAAGGATACAACAATTGTTCTAATATGGCTGGAATCTATAATGGAGCCCAAGCTCATATACTGGAAAAAAATCCGTTCGCTTTATACATTCCTTGCGGTGCTTATAGTTTAAATTTAGCTGGAGTTCATGCTGCTGAGTCTTGCGCTGAGATCAAAACGTTTTTAGGCAATATCCAAGCCCTCTGCGTGTTCTTTAGTTGCAGCCCAGCATAATGGAAAATTCTTTACGAAGAGACTGCTTTATCACTTCACAATCTCTCAGATACTAGATGGTCAGCCCACATAGCAGCTGTAAAACCTTTAGTAAAAAAATCACGAGAAATCATTGCTGCTCTGGTTAGAACCGTTAATCAACTTGACCTAACTGCGGATATGTTGAATCAAACAAAATCGTTGGGCAAGTATTTTAAGTTATTTGAATCAGTAGTTCTTCTGACCATTTGGTATTAGACACTGCAAAATATTGATAATGTTAGTCGATGTCTCCAGTCGGAGTCAATCACCATTGAAGAAGAAGTCATCCTCATTCAGCTACTTCTAGATGACCTAGGTCGCATTCGTTCGTCGTGGAATTGTATTTTGACTGAAGCAAACTTAAGGGCTGGAAACCTAGGCTTTGAAACAGAATTTAAAGTATAACGCACAAGAAGAGTGAAAAAATTCCACGAATTTTTTCAACTCTTAAATACAGCCCACTACCACGACGATACAGAAAAGAATTTTGAAGTAAGTATTTTCAACGTGGCATTGGACCACATAATTCTACAAATTCAGTCAAGGTTTAATGTGGTGAAAAAGGTTTCTTCTCAGTTTTCCTTTATCTGGCTACAGTATAAAGACCCTTCTTCACAAGATGACAAAGCTCATCAACTTGCGAAATTCTATTCAAATGACGTTAAAGAAGACGACCTTATTGAGGAAATTTGCCACTTTGACCGGTTGAAAGCATCGTCCTTGTTCAGTAAAGCCAACTCTCTCAATCTTTTAAATCAAATATATTCCAAAGGCTTACAACCAATTTTCTCGTTGATATGTACACTTTTGCGCATCTTCCACACAATGCATGTATCCGTTGCAGAGGGTGAAAGATCTTTTAGTAAACTGAAGATTATAAAAAACCACTTCAGAGCCACTATGGGACAAGAGCGACTTTCAAATCTTATGGCGTTGTCTATTGAAAATGATCTCGCGAAATCATTGTCATATGATGAAGTAATTTCTAATTTTGCCTCAAAAAAAGCTCGAAAATTTTATTTAAATTAGGAATTGTTTATGATGTGGTTAGTTAGCAAAAAATGAAATAAAAAAAAAGTTAAAGTAGCTATAAAGGCATACTGTATTGTTTCCTTTCTATGCCAAGTATATGTATATATATATATATATATATATATATATATATATATATATATATATATATATATATATATATATATATATATATATATATATATATATATATATATATATATATATATGTATATATATATATATATATATATATATATATATATATATATATATATATATATATATATATATATATATATATATATATATATATATACATATATATATATATATATATATATACATATATATATATATATATATATATATATATATATATATATATATATATATATATATATATATATATATATATATATATATATATATATATATATATATATATATATATGAGCCGTGGCGCAATGGTTAGAGCATTGGACTCGTGACTCAAGGGTTGCGGGTTCGATTCCAGCTCGAAGCACATAAACGTTATCAGTGAAGTTGGAAACGGAGAGCCAACTTAATAAATGCTGTTCTCCTTGTGGCGGTGCTCTGTGACAACTTCTTAGAGCATCTTATTAACTGAAAAAAAAAAAAGAAAAAAAGCGAAATCCATAAAGGCGCCAAAAAAGTTGTTGTCACGGGCGGCTTGAAGGCTCTCGGCGGCCCTGCTCGTACATATCTATTTGCAGGATGTTTAAAAGGGTTTCTATATACTAAAAGGCAGTTTATAATATTCTTTTAAAATATTATTTAGAATAAATTTTGCATATTTTTTTTTTGGCGTTTTTTTTTGCATATCTATTGAAGGTTTTGTTGGACCAATTGAATTTTTGAATTTAGAATTTAGTAATTCAGAATTTAGTAAGCTGCGATTATCTATTGGATCTAAAAATACTGCAAAAACCTTTTTCTACTCACAAAAATCTTTATTTTATTATATATTTTTTTTCTTAAATACAGAAAATTAAGTTAAAATAACATACTAATTATAAAAAAGGCGCGAAACACTTGTATGAAAAAATTGCAAAAACAAAAAAAAGTGGGATAAAATGGCGCGACAAAGTACAAAAAGAGTCATAAAAATTTTATGAGAGTTTTTTTTATTTGGTGGACTATATACAAAGTTATAAGCAAACTAATTTTTGCAGTAAATTTTGCAGTAAAGTCAAGCCTTATTATTATGAGCTCAATATTTTTTATTCTTTTTATTCTTCTAGTATTTATGAACTTTAGTTTTTTTCTGCACAAACAGAATTGTTTTAAGTATACTTAATTAAGTATGAGCTTCATATGAGCACAGTCATAAAGGTATCAAAAAGATGCCTAAAAATACATTGATAAATTTACTGATAACTTGTGTACGTGTTTTATGGTTGTAATAACCCTCCCCAACCCCCAATACGTACCTGTATACAAGCTTTTATGGCGCGGCTCCAGCTCCATCCCCTTGGGTATATACGGCTCCGGCTCGTAGTTATTGTGAGCGATTCTGGTGTAACTTCCCAGCTAGCACACATACGCTGATAAAATGTTAGAACAATGTTGGCCCAACATCGACCGCCAACCTTGGTTTTACATCATTTTGGTTACAAATGCGACGTTGCTAACAATCAAAAAACATCGTTGTATTTTATTTCGGCATTGCGTAATACTTTACGTTGATACTACGTTGTATTCTACGTTGGCAAAGCGTTGTGTTTTAAGTTAATTAAACGTTATATTTTACGTTTGCACAACGTTATACTTAACTTTTATACAACTTATTTTATTTATTCATTTTATATTTTATTTTTTTAGCTTATGTATATACAATATTTTATATAATTAAAATAAATTATAAACAATTAGTATATGTATATACAAGTTAATATATGTAGTTACTATTCATACTTTAAACATTTTGATTTGACAGCGTCACTTCTGATACATCTTGCTAAACAGCCATTACTCATGTTTATTTTGTTTGTGGCTTTATATTTCTTTACATAAGAAAGAGAAAAATATATTAGCAAAACTTATTTTTATAATCAGCTGAAGCATTTGAATGATAAATAATTCTTATAAATTATACAATTATATATTTGTATATCTGCCTTTTCTCGATAAAAACACAACGTTGATCCACTATAATCCAACGTTATTTCAATGTATATGGATCAACGTTAATCCATACACATTAGATTAAAGTTGCGTTATTGACATTGGATCAACGTTAATCCCTAAACATTGAATCAACGTTGAGTTTAGATAGGAAAAACAACCAATTTTTAAAATAGCTAACTATTTTTAATCACGTCTTTATTAAGGTTTTCATTAATATAAATACGATAAAACTTACATTTGATCAACGTTTTACTTGCATCGGAGAAAACAGCCCACGTTCGCGATGTATTTACATATAAAACGTAAGTGTGCTAGCTGATAACTATAATTATATTTAAAAAGAAAATTAAAAAAAAAAAGGAACAGAAGGAAAATACAAACAATGTTTTACTAATATTTAAATTTTCTTTTTTTAAGAATATTGTGTTGTTTCTTTTTTTTAAGAATATTGTATTTCTAACCTAAAACAAAAGCTTAAAAGAAATGCATATTTGTAAGAGAAGCACCAAGTTGTTAATTAAATACATAGTGATATGGCTACTTTTGGTGAGACGTAAAAGATTTAAATGCATTATTAACTCGTTCAATGCTTTAGAGAAAAGCCTTATCTTTTCCTCTTAAGCATTTTTAAACATTAAGGCTCCCCGTTTATTTAGTAGATTTTGCCCAAGCTGGACTTCAAACTATACTTTTGAGTTCTTTTTTGTTCTTTTCCCTTATTTTGGATAGACTCTTGAATGTATTGCTAATTTTTTTTTTGCTTGTTTCATTTTTTTTAAGAATTTTCATTTTTGAAGACTTTAGCTTCTTCATTTGTACTCTCAGTCGGAAATATTCCGCAATTGCTTATAATTTAAAAGCTCAAACGTTTTGCCTACTGACCGCTTTTGCACCAACCAGAGAATATTTTCATCAACTGAAATGAAAAATAAATAAAACATTATTACTATTATTAGCCATATTTGAAAACGTTTAGCAAAAAAATAATGTCTTAATTTTAATTTTAATTAAAGTAAACAAAGCCAAAAATATTAGTATAATAATTTGCATATTTTTTTAGAAGTTAAAAAAAAAATGTTAATCTAAATAAATATAGAAATATAATATCTGTTCTTCTTCGTAAAGAAGTATTGACAGTACAAGTCTGCAAAGATCACTGCACACAAAAATTAACTACTAAACATGGTTTCTCTTGTTCCAATAAATTC